ATAGATTTTGGTGTTTGAGATATGGGAGAGGGCACCCTTTTATATAGTGTTTAAATGGGGTTAAGGTTTTTTAGGGTTTTCTCATGGTTTGCCTTTTTATTGAGATTGAATATGCACCATTGAACTTAAGTAACTTGTGAGGTGAGAGATATGAGTCATCCATTCCATAAACTAGCTATCAAAAACATATCGAAGGTATTAGAACTTTTAACCCTCATTTCTAAAATCATTTTTCCATAAATTAATTTAAATATTAATATATCAATAATAATATTATTTCATATGCAAACCACCACACACTTTCCATTGTTTGATTTAAACCTCCTTATTTCTTAAAACACATTGTCTTAGCCTCAAGCCATCAAACTTGATATAATAGAATAAAAAGTGAATGGGGTGGGGCATGCCACCCTATGGTGGCTTCCATGGGCCCCACCAAATTGTCATGGTAGGCCTTATATGTACTATTGGCCCCCCATGCAATAAATTTATTTTTAAATTAATATATGATTTTTAAAAATTCATAAAATCTCATTTGAATAAATAAAACAATGTAAAATGAATATCTATGTTTTTATAAATCCAAATTTCATAAATAAAATATTCAAATATTCAAAAAATTTTGAATAACATTTTTAAAAATCAAATAACATTAAAACAAATATAAGTAATACTTTTGATGGGAAATAGATCCATGTGGTCTAGAAATAAACACTAGGGCATTCCACCTTCTACTGTGGACTATGGTCCACACTTTCTTTTTCATATTGACCCAGTGTTTCTTATGACCCACAGTTTATTGCAGGGGCTCATTAGTATGTCACCAAAGTCAGCCAATGGGCAAGTGGTCGTAATCCCAGTATGTGGATTTCAAGTTCTCCCCTAGAGACGAACCAAGGTCACTTAGACCTAATACAACCACAGCTCTATGGTGCATAGCGGTAATCTCTCGCACATGCACATACTTCACCCTGAAAGGTGGTTCGCTTCCCGAAACAGCTATCATATGTACACGTCATGTGATGATATACAGATAAATTTTTGGCCTCCGTCTCTGAAGACCTCTATCACACACAAGGGTCACACAATTCATTGGCTCACTCATCCGAGCATAATTTGATCTCATCAAGAAATGACCCATTATAACCCCTATTGATTTAATCTTTATGCCACGTAACATAGGTTTTTTTCAACCTACTGGCTTAGCTCATCAAGCTCAGTCTGATATCAACAAATATCATTTGCTTAATATGGTCCACACATGACCACACTCCCACTAAGTTCATATTCCATTATATCAAAAGTTTAATTACAAGCACTCCGTTAATGGCTATATATACCCAACATATACCACTTGGCCTCTGAATGCTTTATATTCTCTCTTCATCGCTTTCTCTCATCCCTATCTCTCTCATATGTCTTACAAAAACATTAGGTGCAAACCCCTTTGTAAGAGGGTTTAATATTATTACCTTTGTGAGCATATAGCTAATCTTGATCTTTCTCAATCTCACCTCATTCTGCATGTGATAAAAGCAAAATTTCATGTGCTTAGAGTTTTTATGGAAACATGGCTCTTTTGACACACAAATCACAACCGTGTTGTCGCAAAAAATCCTCAGTGCCTCACAACATACGGGGTTAAAGTCAAGTCAATTAGAAAAAAAATTTAATCCATATGGCCTCCTTGGCTACCAAACAGCACACCACATATTCAGCATCCCTAGTGGACGGCGCCACTACATCATGTTTTTTGACTTCCAAGAAACAATCCCTCCTCCACGCATGAACACATATCCAGATGTGGATTTCGCACATCTTGATCACCTAGGTAGCTTGCATCCGTGTAACCTTGAACAGATCCTCCTTCACATGTAAGCACGTAGTTTACAGTCCCTTCAAATATATGAGGATTCTCTTAACCGTCTTCCAATGCTCAACTCTAGGGTTGCATTGGAATCGGCTAATCATGCTCATGACGAAAGACAAATCAAGTCTTGTTCCTATCATGTCGTACATAAGGAATCCCACCGCATTTCAATATGGTTGTCTCTCCATGGCTTTTATAACATCATCTCTTGTAAGACATATCTTATTGCCGAGCTTTGTCTTTTTGTCTATTGGGGTAAACATGGGCTTGCATTTATCCATCTTAAACTTTTCCAATATCCTCTTGTAATAGGTTGTCTAGAAAAGTTGTATAGTTCTCTTGCTTTTGTTTTTTATTATTTCGATGCCCAACACATATGAAGCTTCTCCAAAATCTTTCATATCAAAGTATTGTGTGAGGAATGTTTTTGTCTTTACTACTAGGGCAATCGATCTACTAACGATTAGCATATCATCCATATACAAGGAGATGAATATCACATCACTCCCACTGACCATTTTATAGATATAGTAATTCTCTTCATTTGAAAAAACCCTTGCAAGAGTTAGGGTCTCTTGAAATTTGATGCATCACTGTCATGATACTTGTTTTAAGCCATAGAGTTACTTGTTAAGTTTGTATACTAGATTTTCCTTTGCTTTTTTTTCAAATCACACGAGTTGTTTCATAGATTTCTTCTTCCAAATCTCCTTTTAAGAATGTTGTTTTCACATCCATTTGATGGACCTCAAAATCAAAATGGGAAGGTATGGCTATTAGGATTTGGATATATAGAAACTTGACAATTGAGGAAAAGATTTCATCATTGTCTATCTCTTCTCTTTGGGTGAATCCCTTGGCTACAAATCTGGCTTTATATTTTTTTATTTCCCCCTCTGAGTTTAACTTCTTTTTGAAGATCCAATTACATCCTATAGCCTTATGGTTATGAGGCAGAGGTATTAATTTCCAAACATAGTTTTGGTTTATGGAGGCATATTCATCATTTATGGCTTCTACCCAATAATCTTTTTCAAAGACAGATTAAGACTTCATATTAAGTTTTAGGCTCAACATCTGGTTCATCCCTAACCCTATCATAGTGTTCTCCCAAATAGACAAAGTGTTCAAGGTATTGAGGTGGTCTACTAGTTTGGTTGCTTCTTCTTGGTGCAAATTCATATTCAAGTTGGTTTGAGGATTAGGGTTCAGGTTTAAGTCCATTCGAGGTTTCAGATTCGGGTTCTTGAAACAAGAGATCGGCTTGTTTGTCACTCAATCTGGCTTCAAGGAATTCTTCCTCGAAGAAGTGAGCATCGCGACTTTCAGTAACCACCCCGGTTTCAAGGTTGTAGAAGCAATACCCTTATCATGGTCTAGGTAGCCAATGAATATTAGATTTCACAATTTGGGTTGAAGTTTAGTCTTGTTTTGGTGTGGGATTAGAACATGGGTTGAGCATCCCCATACTCTTAGATCGTCAAGGGAAGGAGTACGACCAGTGAATATTTTGTGATGAGTAAGTAAGGCAGCTTTTATGGGGAGGAAATTCATACAGACCCCTAATTCCCCATCGTATTTCACGGTAGTCCCTCCTTCTATTTTCCTTTTAAGCGGCATAAAAAAACCCTTATGTATTTCACCGTACCCCCTCATCTTTTCTCTCCCACGTTTATTCACTTTTGGTCACAAAAACTAACCTTAACAAATTATTTATTCTATCTCAATCCAAAAGCTTTTTAAAAAAGTGTAAAATAGGGTTAAAAAGGCTTTTGGATTGAGATGGAATAAAACAATTTGTTGGGGCTAGTTTTTGTAGTAAAAAGTGAATAAACGTGGGAGAGAAGAGATGAGGGGGTACGACGAAATACTCGAAGGTTTTTTTTATACCGCTTGAAAGAAAAATGGAATGAGGGATTACCATGAAATACGATGGGGAATTAGGGGTTTGTACGATATTTTTCCAAAATTCTAATTAAGGTAATAACATACCATCAACACGGCTTCTCCCCAAAATTCTAGAGAAAGCATAGTATGTTTCATCATACTCATTACCATTTCAACCAGGGTTATATTATGTCTCTCAGCTACTCCAATTTGTTTCGAGGTGTAATACATACGTTATTGATGGATAACTCCACTATCTACACATAGGTCTTTGAAAAGTTCAAATGAATATTCCCGCCCTTCTATCCGTTCTTAAGACTTTAATTTTAAAATTCATTAGGTTCTCTACCTCAACTTTATATTCCTTAAACTTTTTTAAAGCTTTGAATTTGTGTGCCTTAAGTACACATGGCCATATCGCAATTGGTTATCAATAAAGGTGATGAAATATCTTTTGCGGCTTTTGATAGCCATATTTATAAAATCACATATATCATTATAAATGAGGTAACCATATTCATAAGATCACATATGTCATTATAAATGATTTCTAACACGTTAATAGCTCTTTTTGCCCCGGTAGTATTTTTTTTTTTTAATTTTTCTTGCACACATGACTCACATACTTTGATAAATCTTCCTTATAATTTTAAAGGTCCCATCATTTTTCAATCTTTCATTCTTTGGTAGTTTATGTATCACAACCACATATATCATAAGGTAGCATCTAAACCACTTGAGTATAAAACATAAATAATATTTTTTTTCATTTCAATAATATAAAGACCATCCAGAAGACGTCAAGTCGTAACATAATTATTTCCATTTTTTACGACCAACTCTAACCGTCTTGAAAACCGAAACCAAATACTTCCTCATATCAAGATTTCAAGAACGTAAAGTACTTGCTTGAGTATTTGCTTGGCCCACTCCTAATCTAATAGCTACTATGGCTTAGCTTATACACATACATGGAGGGTAAATGTTAATAGAATGCTTGTTTGGCTAAATTTGGCGCGAGGAGACAGATTCTTTGCCCTCTTTCGGTTGAGACAGTGTAATGGTTTAATGGAGGGTGGCATTTTTTTTTCTTTTGTTTCAGTTTATAATATGAAAGAGAGAGGAGAAGTACACAGAAATATGGAAAAGTATTGTAATCATGCCGACAGACTTTTAGTCACGAGGTTGACTACAACAAATCTGTGGTCATCAGGTCATGGACATCCAATACTCCAATCAATGGCATAAGCCCATCGCACATATACCCTGTAATTATGAGAACTACATTATAATTCACATACAACTCATGGCATAATTTGCACAGTTACCCTCTTCCATGAAAGAAAAAAGAGAAAAACACCCATGGCTCTAGCGCATGGACTTCAACTCAGTCGAGAGAACTCCCAATCAGAAAGCTCATCTGTAGCTTTTATGAGTAAGACCCAGTTCTGACATCAGTATAAATATGGCAGTCAAGGCCTATGGAATTTGATGGTGCTATGGATCAGGTTGGGAGGCCCAACAAGGACCGGACCTCATTAAGAAGCTTGCTAGAGACCAAATGCATATAATCCCAAGGAATTGGAGGACATTAAGTAGGGCACCCAAAGAGCTGTTTATGGCCAATGTCTGTGAATTTGCCTCTGCCCCTCTAACTGAATAGGATAGTGCTGTTACCAACTGTGCTGCTCTGTTCAACTGGTGCAGCCTATAAACCTGCAAATAAAACCCGAAAAAAAGATAAGAAAAAAGGATTAAACACTTGAATCAGGCCCGCCTGTGGGGGAAGAGAGAGAGAGAGAGAGAGTTGCACCTGAAAGATGATGGGAATGGATGGCCAAGCAGGTGACTTAGTATATCTGACATAACGCTCAAATGCAAACTGAACAACAAGACCAACAAGGTATGGAGCTAGCGTGGCTGAAGCTGCTGGCCCAGTCCAAGGCCAAACCAAACCCATTGTCACAAGAGGAATGATGAGACTAAGCACCAAGGTCACTACTGAAAATATTCGTTGTCCAAAGTGTGGGGTAATTTCAGCACTGTATTTAACCATAGAATGAAGATAGGGTCTTTGCATGTGGTGTGTTAAAAGAACGAAGACAGCAACACCACCGTAGAAAAGCGCTTCAGTGAAGAACAATATGAGGAAATCTGCATGCACAAAGGACAGTTATGCATTGGCAGATATCAAGTCAAGGCCAGATCCCAAAAGAAAAAATAAACTAAGTATATAAGTAAGCACCAATAATGGCTCGTTCTGGTTTTATGGAGTAAATTTTTAGCATGTATTCCAGTAGTCCTTGTATCCAGATTAGTTTAAAACTTATACAACTTCTTAATTTGTTTGTTCCTTCTCTTTTGATGCATTTTCACAAACAATATTTTTTTTTCCCAAGAGTTAAACTATGCAGAGAAGAAGCATGACAATTTGCGCCAAAAGAAAAAAAAAAAACTATAGAAATTTATACAACACTCCGATCCACACATTCCATCACAGATAAGTCATGCGTGAGTTAAATATTTTTTATCATGTTCACATACTAGACTCAGAAGTAACAGTGTCAGACTTGCAAATACACAAAGCCAAACCATATAGAACGATAGGAAGAGAGACATCCACAAGGAATCTGATGCTAAAAAGCCTCATAATTAAAACCTCAAAGGCCAATAGGAAAAGACATAAGGATATGACATAATATCTCTCCAGATTGTTTCTCAGGCCTTTGAACACCATTTCATAATAATCTTTTAAAGGTAAAAGGAAAATTTGGAAATGAAATCAAAATAATGAATTAAATTTTGAAAAAATTAATCACAGAAACCTCCTGTATCTAACAGGTGACAGAAACAAAGCAAACAAAAGAAAGCTTAAAACCGATGGGTGTATTTTCTGAACAAAGTAGAGGAATTCTCAAAGCCAGCACAGAGAAACTTGCAACTTAAATGTAAATTTTTAAATCACAAAGAATGACAAAAAGATAAAACATTTAAATGTAAATGTTTGGGCAATTTTTCCTTTAAAACAATGAAATTACTGATTGAATAGAAGTTTTCTTAGTGCGATTATTGCATATCTGATATGAAGACTAAATAACTTAAAAAAAAACTCACTTCTAGTACCAAAAGAAAAACTCAACAAGATGGAACTAGGAATCTTTAAAAAGAAAAATGTCCTTATGGAGAAACCCTGTATCAATCTTTGAACCCAGAAAAATACCTTTTTCAAACACTAAGAAGAAACAAAATCAACTGGTAGTTACCAGAAGTATCAGAGATTCAGGAAGAAGATTCTTCTTTACCTTTGGAACATAATAAGAATTGGATAAGAACAAGGAGATGAGAGGAATTATAAGTACCCATGTTTGTCGAAGATGAGAGATAAAGTATATCCTAACTACGCATTACATTTCTTCAAGTGAAGAAAAGAAACAAAAGAAATTGCATTTCGTATGGTTTCAGGCTCTGAAATCAATCATCTGAATTTGGATGAATATTAGCAAGAGAAAGCCCTAGATTACCCCACAGAGAACTAATTATAATGGGATATAACTAAAAATCTACTTGCATGAGATCAGTAACTTATTGATGAAGCATTTGACATCACCAACATCACCATAAAAAATACAAGAGGATGTGTACGTTATTTTCTAACTACGCATCACATTTCTTCAAGTGAAGAAAAGAAACAGAAGACATTGCATTTCATACGGTTTCAGGCTCTGAAATCAATCATCTTAATTTGGTAGAATATTAGCAAGAGAAAGCTCTAGATTACCCCACATGGAACTAATTATAATGGGATATATCTAAAAATCTACTTGCATGAGATCAGTAACTATTGATGAAGCATTTGACATTACCAACATCACCATAAAAAGTTCAAGAGGATCCATACACATCATGCAGACCTCATGAACCCATCCCAATCTAATTTCATGCAAAAGAAAGAATCCAGCGCTTAAAATAAATTGAGTTGATTTGCAATTGACCACAATAATACTTAGGATCTTCTATTCCTGGCTTTGACATAAATATAAACAAGATACAGACACAGCATATACAATTATGTTTATTCAGGTTGGTACTAATAACTACATTGAATCCAGCAGAATTAAGATCATCAACAAGGGAAGGTCCAGATTAAAAGAATGCTAAGAAGAAAAATGATCCAGTCACTTGGAAAGAGACTCTTAATCAGTGTATGACAGTTACAGAACAAAAACAAAATAGAGTATATAATGTTTGGCTGGAAATAGAACAACTCCATCAACTCAAGGCCACAACCAAATCAGTCAAAGAAAACAAATATGAGGTCTGAACCTACTTTAGATTTCTTTAGCACAAAGATCAACTCTCTTCCAACCAGAAATAATTGCTCAAAAGTTCGAAAAGGACACATAATCATATGAAAGAATGTAGGGATCATAGTGCGTCCGAAACCCAACAAATCAAAGAACATGAGATCACTAACACCACAAATCCTATTAAGTTCAAGTTTGGGAAGCCGAGGTAGTTCAAATGGGAAAAAGGAGAAACAATCAACTAAGAATTCATATTCTTCAACTACCCAAAAAAGGAATTCATTTTCTTCAATAGATAACTAAGAACCCAACTAAATATGGACATCGGGGACAATCAAACATAGCCAAAAAAAATGGGAGACTTAGACTCCACTATAACATTCTCCAACATATACTCAGGTTCGAATTGAGCAGCATTTTTTGTCACACTATGACTCAGCAAATTTAATAACCACAGAAGCCTCAGGGTCATGCATGCAGGAAAGGGAAAAGATAAAAGAGACAATTTTCCATTAAGGATCATGTATAAATTTTCATGGGAATGCTGGTTTTGAGAATGAGAAGCCACCCAATTACAAAACTTCTCTGAGGACAACTAACATGAGTAAGTTAATATGGTGCTCTCATCTGCAATTCAATCGGTTTCAGTCCCACCCAGAGTTCAATGCTACGTAGTTTATTTAGTCTATGCAACTTGCATGAACTTTTGCAAATCTGATCATCATTTCTATTAATTATTTTTTGTTTTGCTAAATTGGGAAACACGATTATGCAACTGATTTTTTTCCCCCATTTCCAGTACGATGTTTATTAAGCTGGTTCTCCAAATGATAGTCAATCTCCTATCAGTTCATAGGGAAATTTATCAAAATACCCATAAGGGATGAACTATTCAACATTTTATCCATTTGCAACTATTCCAACTCATGATCATGTGTCTTTTGATGCATACTTTGAAATAAAATCAAAAGACATGGGTAGAATGTTAAATAGTTGATCTCTCATGGTTATTTAGATCAATTTCCCTAGTTTATATTACGTCCTAGTTCCTAGGATAACCTGTGCTACCTTGGAAGATAAAGAAACGACCCACGGTTTCAAATTTTCACTGATTCTAACATGGATCCACATCTTTTACATACATTTCGATTTTTAAGGTTCAATAATTATATTCGGACTTGGCTATTCATAGATCTTCAGCCAATCGGCCATAGCATTTTAAATGTCTTCTAAAACAGCATTCTGTGAATGGACAGATCATATAGAGATTTGACTGTCATTTCACTGTTGGGAAATTAGCCCACAGTATGACTTTATACCGGAATTCATATACCATCTAACCAAGCATAACATGTTCACCAAAAAGAATGATGAAATTTACTTATCAAGCCAGCTGTCACTTGAAGACTTGTATAGCCCTATGCATAGTTTGAGGGATGGTGAATCAGCCACAAACCATTTTCTATTAATTGTTACTCTCTAGATTCTTTGTAATACTTTCAGAAGCCATAATAGCATTCCATAGGACCCTTATGGCAAATACTCAATCAATTAAGAGACCAGTCAATACTCCAAGGGCTACAATGATCTGGTATGACACATCCTCTTCTTTCTTTGTTGGTAGTACTGTATATTCAATGAAGAAGCCTAACTAATTATTAAAACTAGTTCTTTTAATAAAAAACATTTCTTGATGTCTACAGCAGGAAACCACAGAGAAATTACTAAGTATTCCATTAATGTCCATTTCAATATTCACATTCATCCCTTCAAATAATGCTATGTCAAAAAGATTCATAAAATAGAAGGAGTCCAAACTATTGAACCCAATGCAAATGATCAACCTTCATAAGGCATTCCCCAAAATTCCAAAAATAGATAAAGTAAATAAAAATAAATATTAAATAAAAATATAATTGAATTTCAACTCATAAAGAAAGAAGTATCAAAATGTCAGCTTTTGAGATGCAATCATCCATACATGTTTAACAATTAAGACAATTTCCGCAATGTGAGAGACATGCATAAAACTACATATGTCGTATTATAACCAATGTCCTTAGATAATTACATTCTTAATAAAAGCATGAAAAGTCATAGATAGTATAAGGTGTAACCCTAATGACAAAATACAAAATTCTACTATACAGCATTTTCTGTCTTCTTTTGATGGATAATATAATGAACAAAATCAATATTCCCTTCATAATAAAGAGCAATAGAAGCACGACAACGGTGCCTCTAACATTGTGAAATTGTACAAATAACACACAAAAAAATCATACTGAAGACGTCACCAATTTGAGCATTAAATCAATTAACTTTCGTTATAGGTAAGACTTAAATATTTTTTAAAACCTGAACTTATAGAATATAAGACAATTCAAGGTTTTTCCAAGCTGAACTTGGCAGTCATGGCACTAGGTTAAACCACTTTCATTTTTAAACAAATTAACCAACATAGGACAAGTTACTCACAAAAATAGCTATTGGAAAACCAGCGTTTTAAAATGCGGGATGCGGGCCAAAAGCGTTGGAGAGTGGGGGGGGGGAGGGGGGGCGATGCCGCTCGATGCGGTCCGAATGGCAGGTGCATCGTGGCGATGCGGTCAATAAATATAAAAATATTCTAAAAAATCTAAAAAATAGATTAATGGATAGAAAAAATATGGAGGTGATATATGTGATAGTAGGTATTTAGATTATTCATTAACTCCAAAAATATTAGCTGTCAGAGATTTAGCATTCACTATCCCCTGATAGAAACTAGAAACTAACATTCAACAATCAACAACCAACAACCATAAGCACAAATCTGAAACCAAAAAATTTTAAAGTCACAAATTTTAT